AGGACATTGATGAGAAAGAGACACGTCGATTGGTTGCCTTCCACATGAGCCCCATACTGGGGCCTGGGATCGAGCCTGCAACCAAGGTATGTGCCTTTGGCTGGAATCGAACCTGGGACCCTTCAGTCCACCGGCCGACGCTCTAACTGCTGAGCCAAACTGGCTAGGGCAAGGGAGAATTTTATTCTGAGATAGGAGGCCACTGGAAAAATGTGAGCAAAGACAAGACGTGATCTGAAAGTTGTGAAAAGATCATTGTAGCTACTATACGGAGGAAAGACTTTAGCTTTCTGTAACCGTTAGAACAGCTGTGTCTTGAGTTTGTAATTAATCCTGGGTGTTTGCGGGCCATGTTTCAATGCCAAAGGCAACACAGGAACATCTTTACTGTGGAGGTGGATGATGCTAGTCATGAATTTTGTCATGGTGAGTAGTTGGGAAATAAATGATTGGCTACACCAAGAATGATCAGAGCACAGGGATAGTTTTCAAGGTGACCAAGAACTTGGGATAAACTTGGATATATCTTCCCTCTGCTTTTTACATTCTTAAAATTCAGATGAAAAGTCCTTGGCAAAGCTTTCTTCTGATACTGAATTAGTCAAGATTCTTAGCATGTTTTAAGGTGGAATTTGTTTTGTTTCAAGACAAGCAGAGAAGAAGGAATAAATTTAGAAAGCTTGCCTACTAATATTGGAAAACATACCCTTGCCACCACTTTTCAATTGCTGAACTGTCAAATATAGAAAGAATTGGTGGAAATTGTGGCATTGTCAGCAATGGTACAGGGACATAAAGGCCTTTATCGTTATCGGTAAAATTGCTCATTGATGCCTCCTTTTTTGAAGAACGCACAGAAACATACCAAAAGCCTCTAAAAATATCATACTCTTTGACCCAGCAATTCCAATTACAGGAATTTATCCTAAAGGAATCATCCAAAATAAGTATAAAATGATTATAAGTGGTATTTAAAATAGCTTTATAATCTCACACACACAAAAGAAAATAACTCAATATCCAGCATCAGGCACTTAGTTAATAAAATTTAAGTAAAACCTTATTAGAACATTCTATGCAGTTATTGAAGAATCTTTTCTATTTAGTGGTATGTAGAAATAGTCACAATATATTGCTACATAAAAAATATCTATAGTAAAAGTAGAGTAAAACAATACTCAGAAATCCATAAAAATGTTAACTAGTAGTGTTTTCTGAGTTAGGATAATTTAATTTTCTTCTTTGTACTTTTTATCTTCTCAAGCTTTAGGTAATGAATGTGTACTACTTTCACATTTAGGAAAAATACAGTATATATTATTTTAAAATATGTCTTTCATAATTTAAAAAAGCTAACATTGTAATACAGTAATATTTGGGTATTTTAAAAACATCTTAAAATATTCTATATCATTTGAGTGGGGAAAAATGCTTTTCTAAGAAATTCTCTACATGAGCCTCTTCCATTTTGCTGCAAAAGCTGTGAAAACTGACAATTACCGTTGCTTTTCATGGTCATCCTTACGGAGAGGCAAAAGAGAGGGACCTTGAGGGATGAAGGGCTAACCAGAGGGAACAAAGTGATGTGTCATGTTGCTGGCCTGGGAGTCCCAGCATGCACGGTCCTCCTCTACCATAGGTGAAAAAACGGTTCAGGGCCCGGTCGGGCGTGGCTCAGTGGCTGAGCATCAGCCTAGCATCCGGGAGATCCGGGTTCGATTCCTGGCCGGGGCACACCCCAGGTTGCAGGCTTGGTCCCCGGTCGGGGTGTGTGCGGGAGGCATCCTATTGATGATTCTATCATCATTGATGATTCTGTCTCTCTCCCTCTCCCTTCCTCTCTTTGAATCATTAAAGATATATTTTAAAAAGCAACATACACAACGGTTCAGGTTAGACACTGGCCAAGCTCTTGCTTTTAAGGTTCCGTTTCAGAAGAACATCTGTGAAAAGATGACCAAGTGAGGCATTTCCTGGTCTCACGCCTGATAAGCCCGTGATGCTCAGGCCAGGGCCTCATTCTTGTTGAATCGGAAGCAGGCGACACCTAGCTGTCCAGGCTGTCGTCTCCTTCCAACGTGTAACCCTCCGGGCCAGCCGGCAGACGTGGGCAAGTGGTGGTTGCAGTCCTGAGACAGAGGGACTGCATGCTTCACTGTCAGTCCTGAGTGAGTTGTAATGTTCAGATTATGGCAGTACTCTTTGGCTTCTTAGAATAATTTTTTTGGTTCAGTAGCTGCTAACTATTTTCATTATTTATTATTAGCGTAAACCTTATTTCTTTAAAAAAATTTTATAGAGTTATACTTGACATACATGATATTAATTTTAGGTATACAACATAATGATTCAATATTTGTATAATAAGCCATATTTTTTTATGGCCTATGGACTACTTGGAAAAAATCTTAAATGTCTTGTTGGCTCTGAGGAAGCAAAGCTTCGAGTAATTGCTACAAAATCAGCGTTCCTCCCATCCCCTGTCCTACCATCCTTGGGATTTCTAATGCTCAGTCAGCCAAGCAGATTTATACACAAAAACTTAAAGCACTGCTTATTTAAACTCTCTAGTTATGCATTGTTAACATTATTAGAATGGGAAAGATGATATTTAACTTATATGGACTATGTTTAGAAAGTTCCTAAAATAAAGGCTAATTTGATAACAAAACCAACTATAACCTAATTTTCATAAGTTGATGTCATCTCTAAACTATAAAACTTTTTTATTTGGCATATTGTATGAATGAGGAAAATTGATGTTCAAAAAACTTTTGAAGGGAATATATTTGAACCATGTGATGCACCTCTTCTCATTTCCATTTTACTTCTTACAGATTAATATAGCTAAGTAATTCCGTTTTTCCCCAAAAGCAAATAAGGCAGATATTTCACTGTTTCCAAACACAGAGGGATCAGTAAACAACTAGCTTAGAATTCACCTTAACCAAGCAAGAGACCACATTCTAGTTTTGATTTTCTCAAAGTACCTCAACTGAGTCAAAATATCTGAGAGGAAAGAAAGCAAGAAAGTATGAAAGAAAGGAAGTGTGAGAGGGAGGCAAGGAAAGGGAGGGAGAGAGGGAGGGAGAGAGGGAGGGAGGGAGAGAGGGAGGGAAGAAGGGGGGGAAGGGTATTGTGGAGATACCCTGTTCTGATCTAGGAGAGCAGATCTAGATCTAGTGTTATTTGAGTAAGCTTTGTTAACCAGAAGGTAGCATAATGGTAGATGTCAGGGAATTAGGGACATGGGTCATCAGATGGTAGTCAGGGGATGTAGAAAGGAACATGTCAGAAAATAAAGACAAACTTACTTGATATTACAGTGTTGCCTAGAATCACACCACACTGGCTGATGCTACGTGTAATAGTCCCGATCATCATCATCATCATCATAGTTATTGCTCATTAAGTTCTTAGGCATTTGCTAATAGTGAAAGGTAGGCATCCTCCACACATATTACTTCATAGGGGTGGGCAAAAGTAAGTTTACAGTTCACATGGAAAATAATACAATAATTAGTAAATAATAATACAAAGCAAACTCTGTGTTTTGTGTACTCACAACTATAAACCTACTTTTGCACCCCCTTATTTAATCCTCCCAGTAATAATTGAGTAGCTATACCTCTATTTGACAGATGAGTAAACTGAGGCTTAGGCCAAAAACTTGCCCCAGATGGCACAGCTGGGGTAGTATGGAGTATGGGACTCGAACTTAGGTCTTTGTGTTCTTGAAGTTCCGTGCTAGCAATCAGCTGCACACAACAGGGATTTCTACAACAGCTTTAACTGTAAAATTTATAGGAATCATGCACTAGCTTTTTTGCTCTGTCCACATGGAGTGCGTATTGAGGTCAAATCACTAAAATCTACTAATGGATGAAAAGCTCGTAGTATAGTCAGCTCTGGTAGTTTTAGCAATTTAAAAGAGCAGTGGTGGTTGGTGTTACAGAAGCCATAACACACGTTTCTAGAATGGAAAAGGCAACCAAACTCCTTTTTCAACCATTTTATTGCATGTGCATTTGGCAAATCTGTCACTGCTTCTGGCTGTTGTCATTTTTTAATGCAAGCATTTCTTTGCATGGGTTTCTTTACTTCACGATCTTCTATTGTCTTAATTCTTTTTGAAATCAAAGCTTGGAAGTTGTTTAATCTTACTAGATTTTAAAAACAAGATCATATTTTAATGTAAATGCTTTTAAATTACCCCCTTTGCTGAAATGAGGTGAAATAGCTCAGCAATGTTCCCATGACCTGTTTCTATACCTTTTGATATTTCATATGATCCCCAACCAGTGGGACAGATATCAGGTGGAGCTGTGGAACCAGGCTGCCACTGCCCCCGCGATGCCGAGCCTGGTGGTAGCAGCACCGATGAGGGGGAGAAGCTCTTGACCGAGCCGGGGATTGGCACAGGTGCAGGTAAGGGCACATCATTACCTCGGAAAAACCTTCGGGAACCCTCTGCCCGGGACAGCCCCATTTTAATCTTTCATGTTTCTATTCTTATTTCCTTCATCTTCCAGGTTTATTTTCTTTTTAGCTGATGAATGTGATGGCAGGAGGTGGTTGAGGGGCCTTAAGGGGAGCTTTAAAGCTGGTAACAGGTGTAAATGGTATTTTTTTTAATACATTGGTGCCTAGAATGAAAATGAAGAACTTTGGATTATAAAAGACATTGATAGGGATTTTCAGATCAGTCTTATTTTATAGACAGCTTCCCAGTTAGTTGACCAGGTAGGAGGATTGGAGACATGGAGAACCAAGGCACATTGCATAATGACTGACTTGAACTCCCTATTTTTTAAAATTAGAGAAGAATTTATTGCCATCAGCATATGACCTGGCTCTTGATGATGAGTGTTCGAGCTGCAAGAGTGCCAATTAGAGTGACCCAGCAAACGTGACTCATACTTGTCTGGTCAAACATCTTGTGTCCTTGAAATCAGGATTCCCATTATTTAGTGGATGACCTTTTCAAAAATACCCTGATTTGAATATATATATGTGCGTGGGGGGCTGGGGGATTATTCACCACATATGTTTTATTTATCACATGGTCACATTACCCCCACCTCCAATTTTAATGATAATCATCAAGCACTGTGAGGTATTTGAGATTTTACCCTATTTTTTAAGCAAACAAGTTAGCGAGCCATAGTTTCATGAATGCCAGCAGAAGACACAAGACTCCTGGGTCAGAGAAAAAAACAAAAACTTTATTACTCACAAAAAGATAGCAGTAGCCAGAATATTTGCACTTATGCTGGTTTCCTGAGCTCCAATTCTCCCTAGGCAATGTGGAGAGGGCCAGGTGACATTTGAATATGGAATAGGCTAAGTTGTATGACAAGGACCCTGTGCTGAAGAATCCAAGTCTTTTATAGTGGGCATTAAATCAGAGGAGCTCCCCAAACATTCTACATTCTAACGGGCACAGTAATTGTTAGATCAAATCCGGTTAAAGCAGGAACGTATAATATATTGTAAGCAGTGGAAGAGAGATTTGTTAGGGTTTTCTGTGTGCCAGGCACTGTGCTAACCATGTTACGGTTTACTATCACAAGAATTCTGGGAGTCAAGCATTGCTATTCCTAGTGTATGGATTAGAGAATGAAGGCTTGGAGAGGTATTATTTCCCAAGTTCACACAACTAATAAGTGACAGAGCTGGTATTCTCACCCAGGTCTGTCCAACACCCAAGTATGCACTCATTCCACTAAGTCAAATCACCCCTATTTGTGAATATTGCTTGCTCTCTTATAATCATTTTTTCAAAAGCTATTGGGCTACCATAAAAAAACATAATCCAACCATGTCATATTTTTGTACTGATATTTCTCAGAAGGGCTTCAATTACTCTTTCTCCCTTGTTTCAGGAATGTCATACCTGACTCCCCATCATTGTGTGTTCATAAAATAGCTCAGCTGGATGTCATTAGTACTTTCTTAGAATTTAGGCACAGTACATTATTACATGGTGGGTAGGCAATTTTATTCCCTGTTTTCCTGAATGTTCTTTAAATAATCCATAATTTTAGAGGCCAGCTTAGCAAAACAGATGACTTTATTGAAATGTCTTTCATGATTGAATTTTAATATATTTAATGTAGGAATTTGAATAACAACAAATATATTATTAAAGAGACTTGGCACATGTTGTTTCTCACCATTTTAATTGAATTTTGCTTTAAATCAGGAAATAATCTGTAATGAAATAAAATAGACCATATTCTTTTAGGCAAATTGGCTACATGTTCTCTGAGAGAACATTCAGTTCAACATTTTCCTCTAGGATCTTCTAGGTACAATTTAGTAAATAACCACTATGATATGCTGAGGACCACCTAGGAAAGTCAACCCCAAACCTATTGATAGAACTGAAATTTCTGTATTATTACTTTGAAAGAAGACATCAAAAGTTACTTTCCAAATACATTTTTAAAGGAAAATGTAATATCAGTTATTATTGCCTTACTTCAAAATGGTTTCTTGTAATAGCTGGCAAGAGACAGAGAATGTAAGAAAGGATGTCCGTGTTTTGTGTTAGGAAAGGGAATGGAGTGATAAGACAGTCCTGGGTGGGGTATCGAACTAGGAAGAGGTGAATAAGATTAGGGCTTTAAGCTTCTGGGAGATTATTGTTAATGGGGTAGGAAGCAGAATAGCTACTGAAAAAAGCAACCAAATAAAAAAAAAAGAAAGACACATTTGCCTATTTTATAGATTTACATAATTTGGAGTTTGACACCCTGGAATGATAACTTATTTTATAACATGTAGTCCAGTGTCTTTTATAAATGAAAAAAAATTAAATTGATAGAAATTATTAAGACAACCATTTTAGAAGATCTTATCTTCCAAAGTATTATTTTGCAGTGGGAAAGTTTAAATGCTTTGGGTGTGTGGTATGACATGCCTTTATTTATTTTGTGTAGATCATTTAAACAGAAATACATGTATTTGTTAAATTATAAGAAATCCATTTGAAGTCTTTTAAGAAGCATATTGAACTTGTATTTATTGAAGCATGATAGTTATTATACCCAGATGTGCCAGGGAATTATGGATAAGAATTTATGAAAGACTTCAAGAAGGTTATTTATATTGAAAATTGTCCCAGACTACAAAGTCTTGTCTGGCTTTGTGATCCAGTTTTGCCAAAGGCAAATCAGTTCCTGAACAAAGATGGGAGGCATCCTGACCTATAATACAAATTGGTGTCTTTAGTAAAAAGTCTTACCTTGAGCTATAAAATTATTTGATAACTATATCTAGATATAGTAGTTTAAAATTGCATGGGATAATGATGAACTCACACTCTATTATGATTGTTTTGCTAAATGCCCATGTACGTATAAAAACATGGGCCGGGGACAGGTGTATTACGGTGCTATAGGGAACAATGATTTCTAAGAAGGTAAGATACTATTTTTTTATAGCAATTTTTTTTTTTTTGCAAGTCCTAATATTTCAAATGAAAGAAGTAGGGGTGTTTGTCTGTGTGTGTGTGTGTGTGTGTGTGTGAGAGAGAGAGAGAGAGAGAGAGAGGAGAGGAGAGGAAGAGAGAGGAATTGATTTTATTATTCTAAGACATAGTGTTTTTGTTTGTTTTCAACATTTCTAATGTTCAGTTTTCCTTTAATATCACTGTATCCATTAAATTTGATAGCATTTCTTTTCATCATGAAAAGCCATTTTGGTGCATGTTATAGTCGATGTCATCATAGAATGGAGAAAATGTTTTATATATAATATCAGTGGCCCCTTGATGTTATATATAATATCTCTTACAGTATATAAGATTACATATAATATCTCCTGGCTGTGCACTTTGATTAAAGTCACCTTGTTTTCTAACCTTGTTTTACAGCCCCGAGTAGGAGTTTAGCGGTGGGGGAAAGCACAGCCCTGGACCCAAACAAGGAATCTAAGCCGGCTTCATGGAAAGCATACACACGGGAAAAGGAAGCAGCAGTGCGAGAAGATGAGGGTCCCCAACACAGGGACCCTGGCACAGCAGAAGAAAAGGGGGGTGTAGCGCTGTGGGGAAAAGTGGGGGCTCCTGTGGTTCCCTTGGGGGAGTGGACACCAACAGCAGAACAGCCAGCTTTTGTAGAAAGGTTTGCAGAGGAAAGGGAGACCCCTCAGGGCGTAGCAACCTGGGCAGAGGCCGAGGCAGAGGCCGAGGCCGAGGCAGGAGGGGACAGAGAGCTCCAGGGAGGGGGGCTACACCCAACGGGAAAAGGAGCAGCGCGAGCCTCTGGCGGGCTGAGTGGAGAGGCCCCTGGCCAGCGGGCCCTGTTGCGCACAGCGCCGGAGACAGAGGCGGCGGCTCCCGAGGGCGAGCAGGGTTCGGAGGAGGCCGCGTGCGCGGGCAAGGCTGCAGCTCTGCGCTCGGCGTGTGCTCGGGGGGCCGCAGCCCTGAGGGAGGCTGTGATGCCCCAGGAGGGAGAGGCCCGGAGCGGGGCAGGGTCTGAAAAGCCAGATGCGGAGGCCAGTGAAGAGGAAGCATCCGTAGGCCCGGCGGACAGGGGACCCGAGGAAGACACCGCGCCCGAGGGAGGGGATGGTTCAGCGGGGGCAGCGCTGGGCCGGGAGGAAGCAGCCGGAGCGGGGAAGGCAGGCGGGAGAGCCGCCACCCCGCCGCGCCCAGCTCCTGCGAAGGCGGGGACAGCCCCCGGCGCAGCTGCCCGGGAAGGCCTGCGAGGCCTTGGTGAGGAAGGTGGCGGAGGGGAGGAGGCTGGGGCTGAGGCCGAGCCTAGTCCGGAAGGCGCTAGGAGGGAAACATTCCCTGAGGCGTTAGACACAACAGGAGGGAGGGCGGAAGCTGAGAGGCCAACAGCGCCTCCGTGGGAAGCCGGATCTGGCAGAGGAGAGGTGACAAGGGCAAAGGCTCCTCGGGGCGAAGCCCTTTTAGAGGAAGAGCAAAAGTTTAAAGGGGAGGAGGGGGAGACACAAGGCCCCCCAGGTGAGCTGGAGTGTGATGGGGAGAGTGCAGCACCCACGGAGCCTTCTGCACGGGCTGAAGGCACAGGGCCACCAGGGGCAGGTGCACTGGGGGAGAGGGCGGTGGCCCTGTCTGAGGCGGCACCTGGATTTGAAAAGCCAGTGAGGAAAGAGGAAGGAGGGGAAACGCTGCGGGAAGCTGGGGGCACAGGGCTTACGGGCAGGGGGCAGCCGCCCTGCGGGGAAAACTGGGAGAACCCGGCTCCCTCGGAGCAGGGTGACGGGCCAGGCCCTGGGGCAGAGGGTGTGGGAGGGGCTCCTGAAAGCGACCCAGCAGGAGAGCCGCAGGCTGCCGAGGCGACAACCAGGGCCGCAGGCCAGGCCCAGGAGCGTGCAGCCGAAGGTCAGGACGGCCTCGCAGGCCTGGGAAGGAAGGGAGAAGAAGGGCCTTTACAAGGGCAACAAGGAGCAGGCGCCACGGCGCCGACCCAAGGCGGCCTTTTCGAGGGTGATTCCACGACGGCGGCGAAGTTGAGTGAAGAACCGGTGGCTGAGGCCCCAGAGGGGGAGGCAGATCAAGAGTGTCCCCTGGGGGCAGGAGTGACAAAGGACGGACACCCCGAGGGGGATGGGAGCTTGCAAGGTGGAGTGGTGGTGGCCCGGGAAGATCTCCAGGAAGGAGCGGCAGGAATGGCCCCGGAGAAGAGGGACGCGTTGGCAGGTCTGAAGACAGCCGAGGGGAAAACGGCAGCGAGTACAGACCCCTCCTTTTCAGGTGCCGCAGGCGAGGGAGCCTGGCGCGGGGTGCACGAGTTACCGGGGAACGCAGCAGCTGCGGAGGGGGTGCAGGCAGAGGAAGCGGCGCTGAGCCAGGAGGAGGTGCCCCTGACTGGGGCATCGGGGGCTGAAGCGAGGGCTCGAGGGGAACCCTCCGACCCGGGGGGGAAGGCCCCGCATCCAGGGCCAGGGCGGAAGGGAGGGGACGCCGACGCCAGTCAGCGGGCAGAGCTCAGGGGGCAGGAGGCAGGGATGGGGAGCTGTTGGGGGAGCAGTGAGGCAGGCAAGGCTGAAGGCTTCAGACTGGGATTAACCCAAGAGACAGAGCCGAGTGTAGACAGTCCGCAGGGTGTGGCAATACTCCCCGGAGAAGCCGACTGCCCGGGAACCCAAGAGAAGCAAGAGCATACAGTGCAAAGAGAAAGTGAGCATGCAGATGTTTCCCTGAACAACAAGAAGGCCTAGGGGACTTCATGGCGGACGGTGAGTTTAGGCCTGATCTGTCTGCAGCACTGAAGATACCCCACCTTGGGTCCCCTCTGCTTTGGGCTGGCTCATCCCTTTATCAGCCCTTGTTTGCACACAGCACACACGCTTCAGTTCTGTGCTGCTTAGCACCCAGCCTATCCGGGCAGGGCTGGGGAAGGCGGGGGTGGGGCCAAAGCACACACAGGGACCCGCCTCTGTTCGCTTTGCCACTCGAAATCGCATCCTCGGTCTTTGCAAGAATAGCTCTCTGAAGCAGTGAGATTCCTATCTCCCTTATAGGGCCCCAAAGGTGCAATACAGAGGAGAAGATGCCACAGGGACACACCACAGAAGGAAAGAAGCAAATACTGTTCCAGAGTTCAGTTCCCTTTTAGTATTTAAAGGAATGGCTGTGATTATTTGTCTTTAAATGGGCTCTATTCCTTAATTTCTTCAGTTTTATGGCTTAATATATATAGGGTGTCCCCCCAAAATGTATACATACTCTTCGAATAATTATAAAGGCAGTGTTTATTAAAATACATTTTAATTTCAAAATTGAGCTATCAGCTGTTAAAGTATGTATACATTTTTGGGGATACCCTGTATGTATGTATGTATACATAAATAGTCATACATATATAAAATATATTAACTATTAAAGATATATAAAATATATAAAATATGTATATATGTAAAACAGTAAAGAAAGTAACAAAAGATCAAAATTATTTTTAGCATTTCCTTGTTTGCCTGCTATTTCTTCAATGCCCTCATATCTTTAGTGTCTAGTTTCTAATATCCTGAGCGATTATATTCATAATTCTATCTTTTTTATTATTTTTTAGTGCATTTTAAAGATGTCTTCTGGAAGACTTAAAGAGTGGAGAAAGATTCACCCAAGCACTTTGCCAGGACTTTAGATTTTATCTTAAAAAAACAAATTACTGTACTTGTCTGAGCTGGTTTCCAGTCCGTCATTCTGGTCGGAAGCACAGTATGCACCTTGAGGATACCTGGCAGATCTGTAGGACCCTCCTTATGGGCAGTGGTTCCTAATAAAGGACTCTGAGGCTGATATACATTCAACATAGCTGAGATGTCTGTGTTCAAATCTGGTTGATAGTGCTCCAATGCTTGACTTTTACCAAAGATCGCCTGAAAGGCCCAGTCCTGACATCTGGGATTTGTTTAAATTTTTTTTCTTTATAATCAAATATTAGTCCCAGTTTCATACATGAGAGTTTTCTTTAAAATCTGTGGCTTGGGGCTTTAATGGCTCAGTCTGTGAAAATGAATTCTGAAGGTCCTTCCATGTATAATCAAAACTAAAGATTGCTCCAGTCCAGTGAAATGATTCCATGGCATGTATAATCACTCACAAATACCGATTCCTTCTATTTATGCCAGAAGGGCAATGTAAAGTGGAAATCTTATTTCGAAATGCACTTTGTTTTCTGTGTGTCTTTCTGTAGTTTTGCTTCCTAAGGTAGACGGGTAAATGCTTGTGGGATTTTGTCCCTGGGGGCCTTATTTGTGGGGCCACTCAAATTTTAATCATAGTAGTAAATAATTTAGCTGGGTGAAATGAGTCACAATAGTTATACAGGCAAACACTGCACATCAGCACACCTAGCAACATTCTAGACTCTAGACTGTTTGGTTGATGTCATTCAATGGAAGAGAACTTTGGATTAAATTAGCGTGCTGCTCACCTTCCCAAGTTCTGTTATTTCAAACCTGTGAACTAACCTTGGAGTGCATTGTAAATCAACAGTCACAGTCACTTTCTGAATTACTCCCTGACGTTGCTAGAAATAGTTGTGTATCAGCGTGCCTGCTGGGGATTTTGATTTCCTCGAAGACATCTTTGTTCATATCCCAGAACTCCAAAGGGCACATACATTTGGCTATCTTTTCTCCACGTGAGGAGGTGAAAGAAAATTTCCTAAAGCGGTGATTTTCTAGCTGGATTCACATCAGACTCTCATCAGACATTTTCGTGAATGCACGAATGATTCAACCCCTAGTTCCACCCCAAAGATTCAGATTTAATCAGTTTTAGATGGGCGAAGGCATTGGTTTTGGTTTGGTTTTGTTAATCCAGTTGATTCTACTATGTAGTCAAAATGGAGAACTGCTGCCCTAAATTACCATATAATCCATGCTGGTTGCCTACAGTGGTTCTCAAAATGTGATCAAGATATCAGCGTCACTTGGAACTGTCCCAAATACTAATTCCTGCTCTCATATCTATTAAATTGGAAACTCTGTGGGTGGAGTCTAGCAACTGATGGTTTTAACAAGCCCTCCAGGTGATTCTGATGTACTCTAAAGTCTGAAATCTGCTGTCTTGGACAACTGATTATATTGAGGATTAGTCTCAGTTGAAAAACGGATTGTAGAAGCACTGAGAACTTTGTCTTGTGTCCATCTCTTTCTTTTCCTGTTGCTCTTTCTGTTTTTCTTTCTCTAGGGAAGGGAACTCAACATAAAAGTGATGGATTCAACGTTAAACTCATTTTCTTTATGACCTTAATAATGTGTATATGAATGAAGCCTTTCAGCTCCACCCCCTGTTGAGGATGTGCCTGTCACTCATGGCACATCTTAGATCTCCTTTGTTTTCTGAGTGAATTTCATCTACATTATATCCAATTTCATTGATTACTGAGCTACATTACTGTGGAACTCTACAGTATTTGTTCCTTGATCTCAACCTCAATGCTACAGAGCACTTTGCATACATAGCACTTTATGGGAAAGATTGTAAACTTTTAATTCTATTGAAGAAGGAATTATGTACCATGTGTTAAATGGAAATTGCACTGGGTTATTTTTATATTTAACACATTTTGTTGAAGCATTCCGTAACATGATTCTACAATCTGCATGGGGGTTTAACTATGAAATTCAGTGTCGTGATAGTTTGACTAAATGAATTCTTTCTCGGCAAATACTGTGTTGGTAAAATTATCTATATGTTCTACTGAACTGTTTTTTTCCTAGTTTCGTTATCAAAATCATGAATAAAACATATGTATACAGATGAGACATGTGAATGGTTCTTTATAAATAAGACTAGATTTTTAAAATCTTCTTTGTCCTTTCCTTACAAAATTGAAACTCCATAGAGCAGAGCAGAGAGAATTAGTTTCATTGAAATGTATTTTTGAGTATGTGTGTTTCTATTCACTGTCTGCATTCATACATGTCTTCTGCATGCTTGGGATCATACAGTGGAAAGTTATCAGCATTTCATAGATAAGTAAAGAGAAGCTCAATAAAGTTAAGTGGTTTGTTTAAAATCACGGTCAGTCTCTGGGCTTTGTACTCCAAACTATTTTATCACGTACACTTCCTTCTAGGAAGAGGTATATATGTATGCTAAGATACTACAGGTAAACCTCAACATATTTTTGTTTGCTTGTTGAAGAAAAAATATTAACAAAGAAAAGTGAGTTTGAGAATGACTTTAAAGAATTCTAGCTATGTTTATTCTCTGTTCTCTTGAACCTCTTGCTGCTGGCCATGGTGACAGGGAACTTTTCAAAAATGACACAGTGAGTTGGTATAGGAGGGAAAGATTAAATCTCATTAATATATCCTGTATCAGAAAGAATAAAGTTATATTTCCAGTAACTGTCAATCAAAGAATATGGTAAACTATTTAAATAATTCCAGAGAAAAAAATGGACAACTAAAGTAAAGGTAGGCAGAATTAGGCTACTTGAATTTCTTGAATTAAGCCTTTTCTGTGGCTTTATGCACTCTTGTGTTGTAAATTTAAGGTATAGTTGAATTACTTAATCCTTCTAAGATTAATAATTTTGTCACAGTTATTGCCCTTAGCAAATTATTGAGAAAAGAAAAGAAAGCTTTAAGAAAATTCATCTAGTACATGAAATTTTCCAGCAGCATCCAGGACAACCAGGAAAGGCCACTTGTGACCTTGGGTAATATTTCCTTCCAGTCTTCTACACCACCTGATTGTGTCATTTCAAAGAAATTCCCTATCATCATGGCCAGCAGCAAGAGGTACAAGAGAACAGAAAATAAATACAGCTAGTATTCTTTACAAGTCACTCTCAAACTTACCCTTCTTCTTTATTATTTTTTTTTTAAGTTTTTCTTTCCTTATATCATGCCCTATGACAGGAAAATTATCCTCTTCAAAATAATAGGAAACAAAGAACTCTGTAAGATAAAATGCTGGATATTTGAGAACACACATTTCTTTCGAAATTCCTTTCGGAAGTCTCAGATTGTTTAACAATCTTTGCAATTTTTACAGTACTTTGGAATGATGCAATACCTCCACGTTCATTAGGAAAAAATAAGGTAAACAGGAAACTTGCGGGACAGAGAAGCTGGTGCCAAAATCTATTTAAGAACTAGCCCTCTGCCTCCTTTGTGAAATGTGTCCTGGTCTTTATTAGATATCTACTTATAATTAAAGGTTATGTTAAAGACAAAGTTATAGGAGATATCTTGCATTTGTTCAGGATCTTGGTACTAATGTGCCTCAGAGATCTTCCAGCTGGTGAAGATGTGCCTCTGACAGGAGATGAAGGTTTTCAGGGAATTCACCGGCGAGGCTGCTCCATGTGCACTTTTGTCATAAAATGGACCTGAGGACCGGCCTGTACTCACGGTCTTCCCTCTCGCCAGTTCCCCACCCTCTCTTCACAATAGATGCCAACTCTTCATTCATGTTCCAATTTTACTGTGTTGTCTCTGGCCTGTCACAAGTGACAAAGGAACGGTTTGGAATATGGTGTAATATTGAGAAAAGGAATGACCTTCGTGACTGGTTGACAAACCCTCTGCAAGTCAAATGGTTTTCAATTCAATGTTTTCAGGAAAACTACATGAAGACCTAATTAAATTGTCAGCTATAAGCCATTAAAATAATTTTTGGAATTTTATCAGTCTGTGACTTTTGATAAATCACTCAGAAGGAGTTCAAAGGTGAGAACTGCAGCATAATACAAAGAAACCACTTCCATTCCCATCTACTCACTTATATGCACAAGTACTGTACTTGTGCATCTATACAAATAAGACCAAAAGTAGACTATAACCAATGTTAAACACTCTCATTTAGCAGTGAATGATATTTGAACACAGATGGAAAAATTAATTAAAAACAAAGTCACTACCTTAAGAGATGCATTTCTACTTTTATTTTTTTCTGTATTATGTTTATCAACATTTATAATACATGTCTATGTTGTTTTGATCAAATGCATATTAATAATTAGTGCAGTGATAGCTCAGCCTACAGTAATTTAACACTAGAACCCCATGTTCATAAGAAAATATCAAATTAAATTTTAATTATATAATATAGGTACAGAAAAGTGTGACAGGTAATCAAGAAAGACTTTCAAGCATCAAAATACATTAGAATAGGATAAAAATCTGTGAGCAAAATGGAATGAAAATGTAAGTTTTTATTAAGAAAAAATAATGCAAAATTTCCTAATGCAAAAGAAAAGCTTAGTCATGTATTTTTTAAAATGAATATCTTTGTCATGTTCCCTGGGAAACATTCTAGAACAGCGGTTTGGATGCAGAAGGTTTATTAGGACCTTCTCTTAGAAATAATACTGAGGGGAGTGAGGGAATTGGACATGGGTCGAGAGAAAGATGGGCTCTGATGTAGTTACCCCAGAGGCTGCAGGCCATCCCATGGAGCTCGGATGACAGACTGAGGTTCGGGGCCAGGTCTCTGTGTCCCCACAGTAGACACTGATGTTGGCTGCTTCCCCAGAAGGGACCATAACCTTTAACTAGGTAGCTGCTTTCAGTCAAAAGCACTTCCTGTGGAGAGACTCAGACATGGGCCAGCAGCCGACCTCACTCGGGCAGCTGGGGAATGAAGGCATTGACCATGGAGGGGGTATCTGGATGGCACCTCACCACATCCAACGCATGGATAAAGGTGATATCAAATTGGGATAGCATTTTGATTTCTTCGGACACATTTAGGGACAAGGTGTAACCATTTTATCTTAAAACATCCCATTTTATACCATGCTAGAAATTACATCTGTAACTCCTATTTAAACTTAGATGAACATTCATAGATATCAGTAAAAAATGTGTGAGAGGACGCTGGCAGTTTTTCCGAGCTCTCTCGGTAGTACCTGAGCGGCACTATTTGAAGGGCGCCGTTGAAATGGACGTGGTGAGTAGCTCGGGGCTGCATTCCTCAAGTGACAGGGCCTGACAGCCACACAAGTGAGGTGCTGAAATTTTGATTCATGTGCAAAGTTTGATTTGGCTACACAGTATTAAAGTGATATGGGCCAGAAGAGTAAAGCAGTGGGTCATGCAGCTTGGTGTTGCTGCAAGAAAGGAGGCAGAGCTTTAGCACGAAGTCTAGCTGTTTCTGGGGAAGGAAGTGTGCCCTGGAGTGCGTGTGAGTACACAGGCATTCCACAGCCCCGGACTCAAGCTCAGTGGGAAAGAGCAGGGGCCAGCAAAGTCTTCCTGTACAGACCAAGGTAGTCTGTAGTTTAGGTTTTGTGGGACATAGAGTTTTTACTACTCAATCTGGCCATTTTAGGGTGAAGGCAGCCATGCATAGTACTTGAACAAATGAGCATAATTGTGTTCCAATGAAACTTCATTTACAAAAAAAAAGAAGATGGAGGGCCAGATTTGGCTTAAGGAATAGTTTGCCAACCTGTGCTAACAAGCAATCAAGAAAATAATAGTTCTGTAACTATGTAGACTAATTCTCACCGCCACCTCCCCCCCCTCAATATGCCACAAAAATTTTAGTTTTCAAAAATATGCCTTAATCAGAAAAGTTTGGAAACCACTAGCACAAGGAAGTAATTGATCTTCAATCCTTTGGGAGAGTGGATGATTTATTAAAATATTTCTCTCTTTTTAAGACTCTTATTAAATCTTAGCTAGGTTTATAATCCCTCCTTCACCATCTTCTCCGGTACATCTGTTAAAATGCCAATGTGAAATGTTGTGAATCAGGAGAAGGAGCTGTCAAGTTCTGATGATTAGATTTCATATATCTCAGGCTGACTTGCTCTTCAATAGCATGTCAGCTCCATGAAGAGACTTGGTCTGTTTTGGCCCATGTTCTATTCCTAGGGCCAAGAACAGTGTCTGGCACATGGCATGTGCTCAGTATCTGGTAAATGAATGGCTACATTAACCACAATGCAGATTGAAGTAATATGTTGTTCTGAAATTTTTTAAGCCTAATTATGATTTGTTGATAGGCTTCAGGGAGTATATTAATTTGTTGACTGAAGAGATGATGTTTTCATGAAATATTAGAGGCAGTAGGGACACTAGAGATCAAAGATTCTACTAGTTCCGTTTTGGATAGCAGACTGAGGAAGCGGAGGCCCAGAGGGTCTGAGGAATGGGTTACACATTGGGAAGGGACAAAACAGGATCAGAGTCCTTAAGAGCTTATTTCACTTCACAGTGGTGCTTCCTAGTCAGATTATTTTTAGAGACACAGAATCCTAATTTCTAATCAATTCATTCTCAAAGCTTGATTATCTCTTTTTAAAGAACAGCTAATTCAACTCTTACTTTACACAAACTGAAATACAAGATTTCAAATGCAGAGTGAGAGAAACCTTTCAGCTGTCTGGATTATAGATGTCCCCGATGTTTGTCATTGCCTGTTTTGGAACCCCCATTGAGACTGCAGAGGCTTATAGTTAGAGACAGCAGAAATCCCACAGTCTAGTTATTTTATGCACGTGTGAGAGTGTGTGTGTGCGCACACACACACACACACACCTCTGTCATTTAAAGAAAAGAAAATCTTTGAGAATGAACGGAAAGTCTCCCCACTGAACTAATCGCAATGCTAGTGGCTCCCTGCTCAGCACAGAGCTCTCCAGTTGAATTCAACAAATTATAAACCTATCTGAGCATATACAAACTGGCTTAACAAACTCAGATCTAAATCACTGGTTCTCAGCTTTGGCTGCACATTAGAATTCTCCAGAGGAGAATTTCTAAACCTCCGGGGGTGAGAGTTGGGCATTAGAATTTTTAAAAAA